CTCTCCAGGCAGTCGTGTATATTGCCTCTCTGTTTATCCTTACGTCATGAAGAGAAAGCATAGGGCTTATCATCCTCACTACTGTCCTCATTTGAACATTCACTCTGTCATAGCCGGCACTGCCACGTGACAGACATGCTTTTTTTTTTTCCTCTAGCAGAATCAGCACTAGAACTGTGAGTTTTCACCGAAAGACCACACGCTTTTTGCAACTTTTTCACAGGATTTGAAACTACAGAAGCACTACCATGGCCAGAAGTGCAAGCTTCATTCCTGAGAGCGGCAGTCTGTGCTTCAGACTCCGCTTTAACACCGTCCAAATATTGTTGAGCGCTACGCCAGTCCTTTTCTCTACCGGGAAAAGCAGCTGTCTGTAATATTCCCCCATGTACCAAAACCAGTGGTGAAACATTTTGATGACTCACGGCAGGGGTAACTAATGGCATCTGGTGTTGTGCATTACTTTGAAATTTTGTGTCCCAGCTTCCTTCCTGCAGAGAAGCTTAAGAGGGAGGAGGGGCTGAGGGAGGCTGTGAGTGACCTCGAGATTCCTGTGAGATGAAATCTGTGTGTGTATGCGTCTGTGAGACTTACTTTCTATCTGTATGTGTGTCACCAGAGAAAGTGGCAAACGTGTGCTTCCTTTACACTGGCTGTGGTTTTCTGATTTTTTCCAAATTCAGCCAAAAAACAGAGACAGTCCTGAAGAAATGTCTCACAGTGTTTAAGGACACAATACACAGCTGCACAAGGCACGTCGAGTCACAGTGAATTCTCACAGCCCGACCTATTTGTCCAGCTCTGATACGCCTGTGAACGTTTTAATCAGCCTGTTATGCAGTTAACTTCCCACACATTCCATGAAAAACAACAAACTGGACTTATTACGTGTGGAATGTATCAAAGAGCATCTCTTCAGTTGAGATGACTCTCTATCTATTCTCCAGCTGGAGGGAAATCAAAAAGAAATCAGGAAATTTGGGGAGACAACTGCTACTAGGTAGCAGAAATTCACTTATAAAATGTGAATTTTACATCCCTTATTGTATCAAATTCTGTATCACGGCACTCATTCACTATCCCTCAAAGTGAGTCTATGTGCTTGTTAACTCTTACATGTGTCAGGGAACAGATCAGCACATGATTCAAAAAACAAATGTGTTTTATTATCCTTACTGTTTTGAATCCAATTTAAAGCGTCAAGAGTGGGCAGTCCACACATCGACACAATTTTGGTATAAGTTCAATGTGGAGGTTTTATGTAAATTCCTGCCTTACCTCGTTTGTGGTCGACCCAGTTTGATGTGTGGCACCGCAGCACAGCTTGACAGAGACCCAGGGAGTCACTCTCTCGTCTGGGAATCTCAGCCAAATCAGGACTGAATGGTGGATTTGCAGCTCGGCCTGGCACAGGATTACGGCACCATCTGCTGGTCCGGGACAATGGACCGGTCATCCATTGAGAGTTTAGCGGGCTCACAAGGTCACGGCACCAATTGTTGGGACCCGGTACTTTTTACCATGCTAACTCAGAGACAAAGCAGTCCAAGTAACTTCAAAACAGTGCTGATTTAGTTCATGAACACAGATAAAAATTAACATTACACGCTCAGGTATCTTGCACCTCCAACATGCACACAGGCAGATGAAAGATGAAAGACCCTGAACCACAACAGGCCTATACATTATATCACTTTGGTTGGGCTAACCCCATACTACACAGGAACGCCAAACCGTGACGTCTCCCGCTGCCAGGTTTGCAGCTGGCCAGAGCAGTAGTAAGAGCATGAAGAAGAATGTGTGATTGTCTGTTGATTATGTGGTGTTTAGCTAAAACATTCTAACACGACCTCTAGTGACATGTCATGACATTAAACATAAGAAAATATTATGGCTATGACTACAGTTATACACGTCAGAATAATAATAATATTAAACATCCTGTCTTCTAACAGTCATCAACTTTCTATCTAGTTATCCTTGACCATAAGCAACCTGCAGTAACTCATGAGAATGACTAAGCATTTAACAGTCTAACTAGACATCCTGTCTACTCTAAACATTTCTAATACATCAAGTATCTAACCAATATCTATCTGACTAAAAATACCTAACAGGCTGCAGGGATTAAAAACTGAGAAGCTAAACACACACACACACACACACACACTCAGGGGCCCGCACCACAATGCGAGAGTCGTGGCTTCTTCTTCTAACTTTGGCTCCGCTCACGTTTTTTTTTTTAAGAGCTAATGCAGAATTTGCAAGAGACTGACATGTTTTTTTTCCTCTCTTATTGTCTCCTAACATCTCCTCCTCCTTTCCTTGCTTTCTGTCCTGCCTCTCCTCCAGGTCCGTCTCCTCTGAAGTCCATCCACTGCTTCCCCTTCTCGTCGTCCTCCATCTCCTGCTCCTGGTCGCCTCCCGCCTCTGACTTTGACTCCTATGAGGTTGAGTGTCGTCGCCATGACGATGGGGAGCTGACCTCGGCACTGAGGCTGGCGGGAGGTGTCACCGCGGTAACGCTGGACCACCTAGATGCTTTCAAGAAGTACGCTGTGACGGTCAGAGTGTCATCGGCTGGACATATGAGTCCACCAGCGACGTACACCACCGTAACCATGATAGACCGTGAGTGTAACACACACATTTCTTCTGTCTTTGTGGGGACCCTCATATGGAGAGGTTGTGATTCAGAGGTGGAGCAGGTCGAGCCCTGATCACAGGGTCTGCGGTTCGATTCCTGTTTTCCTCAGTCTACATATTGAGATGTCCTTGAGCAAGACAGTGAACCCCAAGTTGCTCCAGGCAGCCAGGCCAGAACCACTGCTGTCAGTGTGTGTTTGGGTGTATCTGAAGCATTTTGTCCAAGTGCGGTCCATTTACCATTCAACCTGGTTCTAACCTGAACCCTAAAACCACAGCTGAACCCTCAAACAGCCCTTTGTGAGGACTGGGCAACATGTCCTCACAATGATATTACAGAACTTAATACAAGTACACACACACACACACACACACACATTTCCCTCTGTTGACAATAAAAACAAAGTTTAAGAAGTAAGAGACACAAACTTCCTGATGAATTCATGAATAAATCTGCCCGTGCTGCTCCCTCTGTGTCCCAGGTGACCAGTCCTATTTGCACAGACTTTATTTAAACATGAGCCTCCACTACTGCACCGAGTCTACACTCTGCTCCACCAGCTTCTGTAGTCTCCCGCTCTGGCACTCCTTTCTCCCACTGTAATTATGGATATTAACCGCAAGGCCTTGCTCTTCTTTTCTGTTCACTTTTGAAAATCAGTTTATAGGAAAATTCATTTAGTTTACTACAGCCAGTCTCAAAGTCTCCGACGTTTTCTCTGAACTAATCATCTTAAAAATGTGAAATAACACACAGCTCGTTTCTTCTCCTCTCTCACTGTGACCCAAAACTCGCTGGGAACTCCTTTTCCTTTCTTCTCTTCACGTCCATCTCTACAAGCCTTCCTTTAACACTCTGCTTGTGTTGCATCATAAATCATCCAGACACAAGTGGGCTAAAAACAGACTCTGGAAAACCCCAAAAAAAATTCTTATTACTGACAGCTACATAAAAACAGGGAGAGGGAGGTGAGTGTCCTTCTGTCTTTATTATGGAAGCAAATTTGTGCCAAGACAAATAAGACATGAAATATAAAGCAAGATTTTAAAAAGCACTACTCTCATGATCTGGACAATGAGTTGGTATCTCATTTTAAATTAATTAGGAGGCGGCCTTACTAAGTCTGAATTAACAGACAGTAATGCATGACTATCATCCTTTGAAAAGAGTAATTATACTAAGCTTTATTATTTTAAAAAAGTCATAATTTAATTCAGACAAGTTAAACTGACCTGCTCCCAAAACATTCTCATGATTTACCTTCTCAGTTTCCACAAACGCTGACGAGCTGTAGCACCTCATCATTTTAAAGTAAATGCCAAAATTTTATTTGTTCAAATTTTTACTAAGTGCAACTTTTCATTGTTTTCTTTTAAGGTTTTAGGTGTAAAATCTTTTCCTTATTGGCAAAGTGATGATCACGCCACAAGAGACAGAAGTTAACAGCTGGAGGACAACACCAAACTCAGATTAAAACAGACAAGGGATCAATACTGCATAAACTTTACAGTGAATTAATTTGATTGACAGAATGTTTATCCAATCCAATTGCTCCCAGGTCCACCAGTCCCGCCTCCCAGCGTTCGGGTCAATGAGAAGTCATCAAAGGTCACAACGTCCTCCATCTTGTTTCGCTTCAACTGCTCCTGGTTCAGTGACGCCAACGGAGCCATCCGGTACTTCACTGTGATTGTGGCTGAGTCTGACGGTACACACACACAAAAACATACGCGTGCACATGCCCATGTACGAAATAATTTGAGTACACAGATCACAGTCAAATATTTACTGAAGCCGCTGTGATGGGGGAAAACCTGCTTCTAGAAATGCTCTGGGCCCGGGGACATTTTTAGATAAACCACTACTAATGGATTAATGGACAACAATGAAAACACTGTAGTAGCTCAGCTGCTGACCGCTGTGGCTGGCCTGCCTGCAGCCCACAGTGCAGCAAGGCTCTGTTCGTTGCCTCCATCACACAAAGGTTTGATCTTTCTCACCCTAACAGCCACTGAGCTCCTGCAGCCCGAGCAGCACCACCCTCTGCCCTCCTACCGTGACTACGTCACCAATGCCTCCATCACAGTGTATCAGACAGCGTATTTCCCCAGCCGCTGCCCCCAAGACACCCAGACGTCCGCTGCACAGGTGAGACAAAGTAACAAGACAGTCAAAATAAGTAAAGCAAAGAAAGAAAAAAATTAAAGAAACATTTTGTGTACATTCTGCGCGTTTGTGGTGGTTGATCGATGATCATTCAGGTGGTGGAGGTGAACCTGGGGGTAGGAGGGGACCGGCTGGGCGGGGCCTGTGATCATTATCACGCCGACGACCTTTACCTGAGTGACAGCTATGGTGGCTTCTGCGACGGCCCACTGAAAGCCAGAACCTCCTACAGGTAACACATGCTCTTTAAATGCTGGATGAACCCTTCAGCAGTGCAGTCACGGTGCAGGTCTTGACTCGATTTTATTCCCGAGTCTGGAAACTGGAGCTTGAAAAGGCGACAGAGAAACGTAATGGTTAAAGTTTCAGATTGTTTGGATCTGTGTTATTTCAAGTTGTATATAGTAAAAATGAGAAACATTTTGTTTTCCGTTTCTCGCACTGCACAGTACGGTTAAAGACATGAAAGTTATATTCTGCTGAAAAAACTACACCTGGATGTTGCATTTGCTGAGAGCACAGTGTTGTAGTTGAGGTGGTAAAGGGTTCATCTGCATAAAAACCTGATGTTTGTATTGTGGATAAAGACGTGTGTGTGTGTGTGTGTGGTGTGTGTGTTCAGGCTGAGTGTCCGAGCCTTCACCAGACTGTTTGATGAAAACCGCCAAGAGTTTGCTCAGCCGCTCTTCACTGATGTATACCTGTCCGCCCCACTCAGGACGCATGCAGGTGAGTAACACACACACACACACACACACACACACAGTTTCTGCCTCCCCATCCTTTGATGTGTGTGTGTGATGTTGTGTATCAGAGCCTCTAGGTGGCGTCGTGGAGGGTTTGAGTGCCGGGATGTTTCTCATTGGGATGATGGTGGCCGTCGTCTCTCTGCTGGTCTACAGACAGAGGCTACGCAAAGTGTGAGTACACAAACACACATTCCTCTGCACTTTTTGTACACACTTTGTCAACATACCCCCTAAACAAATATGTTTGCGTAAACGTATTTAAACAGGTTTACATTTGTGAGGATATCTCCAGGAAAGTAACAAGATGAATATTATGTTGACATGCTTCCTTTCGTGTGTGTGTGTGTGCAGGGCTGTACAGGAGAACCCGGTGGTGAGGATGAGTATGTGGAAAGAGGTTCCAGCATCAGGGATGTACAGTGGAGTCAGGAGGTGAGTGTGTATGGCTCAGGCTATAACTGTCCTCCAGTGTGAGACTCCCACTGCCTCCTATGTCCAATATGTGTCTGTGTGAAGTATTAGTTTCTTATAACATCTCTCTCTCTTTGATTACTTCATCATTCACCCGCCACAGTCCACAGCATCTGTTAATTACCCTGTGTGTGTGTGTGTGGCTCAGTGGAAAGGCTTCATAAAAGGTTTAATGCTGTGGCTCCAATGTCAAAGGGCTTCACCTCTAAATAATACATTTAAATCAATGTAGTGGAGCCCTGCCACTCTAGAAACTACGAACCATCGTATCTGACTGTGATGACAAAGTATAATAACTAGTTCTGTGTTTCTGTTGCAGCAACCGTCGGGTCACCAGGTATGAGTCTCTTCACTCTGCACCACATGATAAAAACTAAGTTTGTAAATGTTGAACTGGCTGTTTCCATGCTAACATCTGTGCCTCTGACAGTCCTATCAAGGCCTGCCACTTTGAGTCTCACCTGAGTAGGCTGCAGGCCGACTCCAACTACCTGCTGTCTGAGGAGTTTGAGGTAAAACACTAACCGAAAGCTCAACTTCTCTAACAGCCACCATGTTAGACAGAAACCATGCATAGTCAAGGCACTTGTTCGAGGAGGTGAAGTGTGTCAACCCTGACACATGATTTGGATCAGTTGGAAACTTCAGAGCTGAGCTCTGAGGGAACAAACAACTGGGGTGTCTCACATTGTCTGATTTTGTCTGAAGTGCTCCTGAACAGGCTTAGTATGCTAAACTGTAATAAACATTTTATTGCTGCTTCCAGACTTTGTGTGGCACCACCTCTTTAGCTGTAACTTTAAATGTCTACCTCCACCAAGCAGTGACCTCTGACTTGTGTCAAATTTAAATGAAACACCTCAAGGTGGTCGTGAGAAAAATCTGATGCACCTTGTTAAAAAAAAAGTTACAAAAAAAATCAAAAATAATTCAGCTTGTGAACATCTGTGCAGGACCTGAAGGATGTGGGCCGCAACCAGACGATGGATGTGGCCCGGCTACCGGAGAACCGAGGAAAGAACCGCTACAACAACATCCTGCCGTGTGAGTGATGAGGTTTCCATTTCCTCTGCTGCAGCAAACACACAGGACCGACAACGGATCGAGTAGAGTCCTTCAGTGGAAGAAACACAATCAATATGAAATTCATTACGATGGCGGCGTCGTTAAGAGCTTTAATTAACGAGAATGTCCGTTCCTATGGCAACAGTGATGTGCCAGCCTGAGGCTCGGGGTGATGAGAACATGAAGTACACAAACCAAAGATTCAGAAGCAGAAAACATAGTCGAGAGACCAGCGTGGCAGTGTGTGTTTGTCTCTCTACCACTCGCTCTCTCCCCAAAAACAAGTTTTTACAGCTGCTAGAAACCAGTCAAACCAGTCTAGCCAACAAGTGTCAGTGGTTGAACGAGACCAGTTACAGTTACTGTGCTGGATCAGAGTACAAGTACCTCAAATATTTACTCAATACAAATTCACTGATCACATTTCTTCTTTCTAGACGATTCCACCCGAGTGAAGCTGTCGTACCTCGAGGACGACCCCTGCTCTGACTACGTCAACGCCAGCTACGTACCTGTACGTACAGTCAAACATACTGAACACACACAGTTAAACCTGCTGTACTGACGCCTTGGTCCTGTGTGTGTGCAGGGGAATAACTACCGCAGGGAGTATGTCGCCACCCAGGGCCCACTGCCTGGCACCAAGGACGACTTCTGGAGGATGGTGTGGGAGCACAGAGTCCACAATGTTGTCATGGTGACGCAGTGTGTGGAGAAAGGACGGGTGTGTCTCTGCTGGTTGTTACAGCCCTGCTGGGCGTCTGCACAGCTCTGGTCCAGGGTCAAACATCTTGACAGCTAGAAGCATTTCTCCTGATGCAAAGGGCAGTGGACAGACTTGTAGAGGGAATAAACATATCACAGCTGGTCTGCAGCATGTGTTTGCAGCCTAGAAAAGTATTTAACTTTATCAGACATTGTACTGTAAGTACAGCAACTAAAATCAACTGCAAACTGTTCTGATAGTGGATTATGGTTTCTGATGTTCTACAGCAGGATCTGCTGTCTTTATTTTGTATATTAAATCTGAGGTGAACAAAAATAAAAAGCTCTAGGAGAGTAACATGGCATTTTTAGTAATTTGTCAAGGACAGAAAAAAACTCCCTTATATATTTACAAGCAAGAAATCTTTTGTTTTTTTAAATGTATACATGCGAACGGTTGATTCGCTGTAGCCTTAACGGGAACAGTCAAGAGTAGTAGTAGTAGATTAGTGAAAGGCTGTAAAACACCAACTGATGTGCAGTGCTTCTCTTTGTCACATCAGATGGACACCCTGAGGACAAACATGTCAACTTTGGGCTGAAACACCCGTGCATGCCCAACAAACCCGTGCTTAAAACTTCTGTTATTTTCACAAAAGTTTTGTCTATGAGCCATCAGACAACAGTGGGTAGTGTCCATCAGTTTCCCAGAATGCACTGAGAAATCAAATGTCTTAACAAAACCACATTTCACTTTACTCTTATAGTAAACAAAACCAAAGCAATTACTTAATGTATTTCAATATCAACCATTTCCACTTGCTAAAACAAGCAAAGCAGTCGCTAATGGTCAATAACTGAGACCTGACCGATCACCAGCATGTTTACCTGTGTTGACAGGTGAAGTGTGATCAGTACTGGCCTGCGGACACGGAGCCCCTGTACTACGGTGACCTGGTCATTCAGATGCTGTCCGAGTCCGTCCTGCCAGAGTGGACCATCAGAGAGTTCAGGATCACCTCGGTACCTGTTCTTAGTTTCTGATGCTGCCTCTCAATCAGACACATCACAGTTTGTATTAACACATGATCAATGAATCGTGACAGGAGCGTGGCAGCAGTTACCCTCGGCTGCTGCGTCACTTCCACTACACCGTGTGGCCCGATCACGGCGTACCGGAGAGCAACCAGTCCCTGATCCAGTTTGTCAGGACAGTCCGGGACTATGTGGACCGATCCCCCAGCACCGGAGCCACCATTGTACACTGCAGGTGGGACTGGTGTGTGTGTGTGTGTTGGGGTGGGGGGTAGACCTCACTTAAACAAGGTCAGTGTGCTCCAGCAGGACGTGTTTAGACCTTTATGCAAGCTGAAAGCGTCACCCTGAAAAGAAACAGGACGTTGTTTCAGAGAGTTTATACATTGTTAGTATTTTTTTGTATAATTATTTGAAATAGAACCATCTGTCTTGGTTTTCTCCTTGGTTTGGTTTGGTCCCAATTGCACCTAAAACACAGGTAATCAAAGGACCTGATCAGGGTTAACATATTTGTTCACTTTAGACTAAGTCAGGCCTGAATCACCAGTAGGAAGTGTTAAAATAACACAATATCATAAAGAACCATACAACGAAATACCGACAATAAGACAATGTATGGACAAAAGGTGTCATTGTTATGTAACTTTTGACTACTATGTGTGTGCCTGCAGTGCTGGTGTTGGTCGTACTGGGACATTCATTGCCTTGGACCGGGTTCTGCAGCAGCTGGACTCTCAAGGAACCATCGACCTGTACGGCTGTGTGTTCGACCTCCGCCTACACCGCCAGCACATGGTCCAGACCGAGGTATAGCCCCCACACTGCTGCTGCTTTTCTCTAAAAAGGGGGGTGAACTCACTTGACTTTCTGCTTGGGTGTCGGTGTATGGACGCACATCCCAGCCAAAAACTTTGAGGGCACACAAACCGCATTTTCAGCCCTGCTTGGTTTGCATTTGAGCGAGAGAGGATCCCTGATGCTCCCTCAAGTCATCTGTTTGCTCTCCAGTCTGTCCTCCCTCGCTCTCAAATGCTGAGCTACAAACTGAGGAGTGTTCAAAAGGTGGTTAGTGTGTCCTCAGACATTCCGGATGGGATTTACTTCCATAACAGTAAATATTAACATAGAAAGAAGAGCTAAGACAGAACATACTGCTAAGGCTTAAACGGCACTAACATTGCACTAACAGTGCAGCTCAGATAAATTATAAATAGTTGAAGTAAAACACTACAGATGTGTAACTTTGAGCTAAAACTATAATTCATATTCAACCAAAGCATTTAAAATCAACTACTGAGCTGAAAATCGGAATATTTTGTCAAAGTAGGGCTAAGACGGTAGTAAATACTGGAGAGCACTGACTGGTACTGGGATCCAATGTGAGACCCGACCAGTTACAGGTAAAACTCTTAGAAACACGGCCAGAGCTAAAACCATGTTCAGTAAATACTGGACTGAATAAGGCTGAGTGATTAATGTGAAATGACAAAGACTGTTCCTTCACAAACATTGTCTGATGTGGAGAAACACAAAGGTGTTGGTGACATTGGTTTCCATGCGTGTTGCAGTGCCAGTATGCCTTCCTGCACCAGTGTGTGCGTGACGTCCTGAGAGCCAGAAAGCACCGCACTGAGCAGGAGAATCCTCTGTACCCCATCTATGAAAACATCAACCCCGAGTACTGCCGCGGTGAGACTCAGATGCACAACATCCACATACTGACACTTGATTCGGTTACATCAGTTAAATACAAGTGTAAAGTAGATCATAATAAATAAAAAGGCAGTCCCAATAATCTGGAATTTAGTTGAATGATTTAATATAGGGGTGTCCGATACTGACCAAATACGATTCCTAGGTATTTTATCGATAACAATAAGCAGACGATGCTTTGTGTCCTTGCAAAATGCCTGTAAAGTCTTGTATTGTACTAGCTCACTTTTGTTAATAGAATATTAACCGTTGCTTACTAATGATATAAATGGGAACAAAGTAAGGACAATGGGTCTTATTCGGTTACATAAAACTGAAGCATTCAAGTACAACAGCAGCTTACACCAACACTGAAATCACATGTGCAGCATGATTCCACTGCAGGTTCCTGTGTGGCTGCTTTAGTCCATCTCCTGACGCTGATTCTATTCTGTGGTTGGCTCACATAGACTGTAGGTTGCTGTCCATCTTTTCAGATCCAAACTACCTGCATGTGAGCGAGGACAAGCCACGTCTAGCAGTCACATCTAACAGCGTAGACTCCTGGTGTTTTTCACCCATCTTAAATCGCACCAATGCATTTTTGGGCAGCTATGCTAACTTAACACATGATCAAGTGTGTTAATCATCTTATAAGAAAATCAAAAACACAGACATTCCACACATTCAGTAGGACAGACCACTGCATGTGTGCACGCAGTGTGCACATGGTCACCCCAGTACAAGTGAAGTTTAAAATGAGTGAACAAACAGGAGAGAAATCCCAGACGCGCTTAGTGTAACTGCTAGATGAGGATCATCCTCACTCACGTGGAGGTGGTTTGGTTCTGAAAAGATGGACATTGCTCAAAAGGCCGTCACACTTGGAGCCAACTCGACAGCTTGTTTCACCACTTGTGAGCAAACTAACCAGTCACGGAATACGAAAAGCTTCAGGGGACAACTGTTCACACAGGAACACACTCAGTCAACTTTAGTGGAATCATTCTGCAAAAGCGATTTCAGAAGTTTTGTATGTTTTTTTGTTTGTTTGTTTGTTTCCTAAATGCTTCAGTATTAAATAAATCAGTATATGAATGTTGTTTCCATTAATATCATTAGTAGGCAACAGCTGATTTGCTGCTGCAGCAAACCAGAACATACAAGATAAACACATTAGTAAAGGATGCAGAACATCATCTGCTTATTGTTAGGGATGTGTGATGCCGACAACATCTGGATATTTTTGGGATTTTGTCTAAGTCGGTACTGATTCTTAAAACACTGAGATCAGTCTTCGCATTTGCTCCTTGTCTCAGTTAATGTACATCTGAGCTAAATGTGTGCAGACACAGAGGTCAGTTGTTGTACATGGTTCAGTTCGGTCAGTACAGTAACAAATAAATTTTAATTTTTATTGCATTCTGGAAAATATCCTAACTTTTCTGGAAATGGGGTTTGCGTAATATGAATGCTGGGACTGTGTGGTTTGTATCCTGTGTTTTAGTGCACTTAACTGTTGTTTACCCACTCAATCTGTGCATCCATTGAAATATTCTCCAAATAAAGAGGAAGAGATTTGTTTGCCAGTTGGCTGTCATGGGTGGTAACGTCCGCCTACTCAAGATTAGGACTTTTGAGAAATTTATTTTCTGCAACATGTGCAATAAAGGTTATTTTAATTTAAAAAATAATGTACATATTAACTGCTATATTAGGGTAAACATTAGATCCCAAAACTCAGGAGCTGGTTGGGGCCAGATGAAGCTGAGAAATACTCTACAGCCCCAGACTGTATTCTGAAATTTGGGATCCAACAACAACACCGCTGTGTTAGCTGCATTGAGTCAGGAGTCTGTAATTCACATCAGTTTACAGCCAGCTAGCACCCATTTTTTTATCTTAACATTTTTGTGCATGTTGTAACAAGTCAGTTACCACACAGCCGGAACTGAACCATGTACAACAAGCAGCTTAACCTGTTTAATGAGAGAAGGAGCTAATGCAGAGACTGATCAATAGTGAATCAATGAACAAAAAAGTCCCAGTTCATCAGGAGGTGGCTACACCGATGTTGCCAGTTCTTCAACGATGAGGTCGGTCAGACACTAAAACCAACAGTGAACTGCCTCTACTCAGGGTTCACGTCTGTCCGACTCCAACCTGGATCAGCTTGTTCGTTTGTGTTGTTGTTGTTGTTGTTGTTGTTGATAAACTGTAAAAACATTAACACCGGTGCACTGGGTGCCACGTTTCTTTGTTACAAAACATCAGACCCACGTATCTGTTAAAAATGTCGCTCCAAATGAAAGGTTCTGCTCATCTGGAGCGTTTGGAGTGACATTTTTAACAAATACGTGGGTCTGATGTTTTGTAACAAAGAAACGTGGCACCCAGTGCACCGGTGTGTTGAACTGATGCATTTGTAATCATTTTTGAAGAGCGAGCTGTGGCCCAGACATTAACCGTGAACAGAGGCAGTTGGTTTTAGTCTGACCAACCCCATCCTTTAAGTGGTGTTCTTATCATTATATGGCTGCTACATGACATAATATTCTACCAAGGCAGGTTTAAAAAAATCAGAAAATACTGGATGAAAGAGTGCTGCAGCAACAAACCTGGGTTTAAAACTCACCAATTATCACAGCTTTGTCCAACCAACAGCTCAAAACCCAGAGATTTTGAGACTATTAGAGTAAACAAAATAAAACTATACATATCTTAATGTTCTCACCTTTCTTCTTGGAAAGACACCGAGCACATCCAGTAACCTATCATATGGTTTTTCCTTTTTTGGTCTCAGATTTCATCTACACCAGACGCTAGACACACGCTGACATCTGTCTGACCAAGGAGAAGCTTCATCAACTTGCTCCATCATCATTAAAACATCTGGAACATATATAAAAGAATAAACAACTAGAAAACGTGTAAATAGTGTGATGCAGGTCAATATTTTACCAGTTAGTTTTTTTTTTAATCTCTAGTTCTTTCATTTGTACTCTATCGCTGCATCTCTGTCATGTCAACCAATGGTCAAGTTTCTCGAACTTTAATGAAACTACAGAAAATAAATTGGATCTTTAAAAATCCATGATCCCAGTTTTAAGTCTGAGGACACATTTTAAAGGTCAGCGTTTGTCATATGCAGTTAGGAAACGTGTTTCCCTGTACAATGAAATTCTCACTTTGCCGTCCACATGAATGTCACACAATACAAGTGAAATATAAAGTGAAATAAATTAAATACAGTTCTAGTTGGCTAATATTTTAGTCACATTTGTGTTAAAAATAAGGCTGTTTGAGATTAAATTTGAAAAGTCTGAAACGCAGAGTCCTGTTAATGATTGTCATGAGTTGAAACACCAGCTGAGCTCAGGCCAGTATCAATGTTCAGACGCTGATCACGGGGATGAGCCATGTATTTTTTATTTTTTTTATATCCTCCCTGACTGCTCCATATAAGCTGTTTATTTAAAAGTTCTACATAATGTTGTATGTAAATATTGATGTATACTCTTTTCTTATAAATGTTTAAAAAAGTTTATTTTCATCCAGTGTAATATTTAGATACCTACAAGAATCATTCTGCTGCATTCAGACTTAAGTTTACTGTAACTATAGATTTGAAAACCGGAGTCAAAGTCCGTGTGTTCAACACACCTGACCAGTAAAGCTGATTCTGATAATAGTTTATTTGTAAAGGATAAATGTTTTAAGATGTAAAACATCAGTCTCATGAGGTAGAGTCTGAATACAAAGCAGGAGCTCAGCCTTTTCTGCCTGTTTTTAAAAAAACATTGGTGTTCAGTTGTAAATGTATTTTCTGAGATTTACTTTTTCCTCCCATTTTACAAGCAATAAAAGTTGTAATTGGAGTTGAATTAAATATTTGTACATCTGACTCAAGTGCTGGACAAGTTTAATGGTTTTTAAAATGATTTCTACACATACAATATGTTTTTAATTTTAAAAAAGACATAATGAGCTTTATTTTAATTAATGAAAATGACATGGGATTAGTAAATCAATATTGTTTTTTGGGTTTTTTTTTATTAATGGACCTTATTTCAGATTTAACACAGTATCGGTTATTTTATGTATGAATTCTGCATATATCTGTGGTATTACAGTGCTGATCGAAGCCGGCCCTCAGAAGGTATGAAGCAGTTTTTATAACCTTCTGTCACATCACTGGATTATAAAGTGCTGATTAAAAAAAGTGCAGTTAAACTGTTTGTCAGTCTACTCTTGTAAGATTACAGAACCTTTACCCAAAAAGAAAGGTTCATTCACTTTTGTATTTGTAACATTTACACAACTTGTTTTTAACATTTATATGAGCTTTACATAGCTAAATTTTAAATTGTTTTTATTTACATACAAACTTAGTAAATAGATAGATAGATGGATGGATAGAAATACTTTATTAATCCCAATCTGGGAAATTGCATTGTTTCAGCAGCGGTTCACACTCAATATCAAGCACACATACCAATAAATAGAATAGATAACCCACTAAAAAGCGTTATGGGGAGTTAAAAATGTCAACACAGTGGATTCACGTTTATTATTATATTAACAATATACGTACCCCCCCGGGCCGCGGTAAAATTGTCAAGCGTTGACCGGTCCGCAGTGATAAAAAGGTTGGGGACCACTGGTCTAATGCTCCAAGATGATGTGTTGTACAAATTAATGGAATAAGGCAGGAAAGATTTCCTATAACGTGCTTTACAGCAACGAAGCTGTATAAGTCTTTTAGAGAAATCCCTGTTACCTTAAATATTTGCTTTAACACTAATAAATGTTGGAGCTTTTAAATTTAAAACTTTAAAATTCCCAGCAGTTTATTCAACTCTAACATAACTTTTAAACAAATTTTTGTAAGTATACAGTTTTTTTAAATTCTCAGCCATTTACAGTTTTCACATAATGTAACAACTTTCTGAAATTCTAACATGCTGTTTTTGCTCATTTGTTTTTATATTGGTACATTTTAGACCACTTTTCTTCTTATTAGCTTTCATCGTACATTTGATCATTTTTTAAATTCCCAGTTAGATTAAAAACATTTACGTATAATTTAGATGACACAATTTTATTCCATCTCATCCCATTGCACTAGTGTTCTATAAGCTTAATGTGCTTTATCCATTATTTGTAACTTAAACCCATAAAGTCTGTTGTATATTGTACATTACCCTACATATCTTACTGTCAATATCAATTGTACATATGTATCAGTAAATTGGTTCAGACTAAAGGCTTTATTCTATTATAAAGCCACGTCCGGTTCTTTCAAACCAGGAACTCAGAGGGACGACTCAGAACTGTACTCCGTTGCCTTGTACTTGTACATGGGTAATGACAATAAAGTTTAATCTAATCCAGGGGCGGCCAATTCCAGTCCTCGAGGGCCACTGTCCTGCTTGTTTTCCAACTATCCCTGCCTGACCTGCTGCTGATTACCTGGCTCAGGTGTGTTCAGCCAGTCAGAAGCTGGAAGATACCAATTCACTTTATCTTTCCTCACTCCACTTTCATCTAAGATAGCATGTGCAGAAGGTCTTGGTGGACACACACATCCTCACATAAGCTGGTGTATGACATCACAGCGTCATAGAGTTCATCCAGGTCTGTAGATGGAGTCTCAGATACACTCTGGTCTGTGCAGTCAGAGCAGACCTGTAGCTCTGACTTTGCCTGCTCAGTCCATCTCTTCACTGTTTTGACCACAGGCTTTGCAGCTTTAAGTTTCTGATTATATGCTGATATAAGATGGACCATACAGAGATCAGAGACTGAGGGCTGCATGCCAGCAATAGGCGTCTTTTATTGCTGTGTAGCAGTGGTCTAATGTGTTTTTGTTCGTATGCTATTTACCATTGGATATACGAACAACCATCAATAAATTACTTTGATACTGAAAAACACTTGAAAACGTGATGATTCTCAGGCAAATTCTGCAGAGAAAGCATCTTTTTTCAACACATTTGTTTGCAATGGACACTGGAGATAATGATAAAGTTTAAGACACACTGGATTAAAAAATCTTAAGTCTCATGTCTGTTTGTAGACACTTGATTTTGAGGACCGAGACCCTGGGAGGCCCCAGAAGCCACAGGTTGATCCATCTCCACTGGTTTTGGCAATCCAATTACAGTACCCAGAGAAACATGGCAGTGGGACAGTGAGTGTATTTGTGTTTCAGGTAGTTTAGGGATAAGTGGTATGGTCTTAACACTGCTGTCCAAGGTGAAATATGGTCAGTACTGTATGTGTGTGTGTATGCATGAGAGAGAGCCACTGGACATTCACTGATGATGAAGCACAGGTGAGTCAGACATTACAAGTGTGTGTGTGTCCCTCGCTTGTCTCCTGGGAGGCCTTTCATTTGCTTAGTTTAAATGGGATTTGTGAATGAAAGACCTGAGATGAGAGCAAAGAAGAGGGAGGATGGATTGTAATACCATGTAGTGTCTCTCCTCTAGTGAATATCCAGGCTTATTCCAGTAAATGGGCCCTGAACTCAACAAGCTGACTAACAAAACCAAATGAGTAGTTTATTATAAAAGGCTGAAACAACCTTTTCTTTTTCAAATTATGATTTAGTCAGTGATAAAGTCTCTGACATCTGTTCATGTAAATGACATATAAGACTTTTCATGTTGAAAGAGGTGTTATTCTTGAGTGTGGACTTGTGTTCACCGAATTATATAACTACAAACACTAATTTGAAATACAAACAGGCCGACTCTCCTGTCAGTACAATCTGGCAACGCTGCTCTTCTTTTTGTATTTTTAGCCTTGATTCGTTAGTGAGTAGTGGAGATGCAGAAAAAGCTGCAGTGCGACTGAGTCTGAAGACAAAATGTGTTTTTATTTAAAGATCTCTATCAGGCACTATAGTTTATCATCTTTATCGGTAAAGCACAGGCAAAGCGGCTACCTGGGTCACATGGTACACAGCTGAGGTTCAGAGAAGATGTTGGATGACCAAATACCTGCAGACAACACAGTACAAAGTACATTGAAAATAAAAAGAAATAACATACGTACCTGCGCACAGAGGAATAATTTTAATACAGTAAATGAGTTAAAGGAAACTAACAAACATTAACCAAACACTTTTCTCCTATGTCAGCTGATAGTTACTGAATTTACTCAAAAATCAATAAGAAAATCAAATATCAATAAATATCAAAACCACATCTGTGAGAATAAAACTAGACATGTCCTGTTTTGTGAAGAAGCTGAATGTAGTTGCTACTGCAGCCCACAGCCTAGCATATGGCTTTAGATAGAAAATCTAACATTATTCACACCAGACAGACAACAGCAACAGCTTGGTAAATCTCATAAAAATACACTAAAATGCTACGTCGATGCTACGTTTTCTTTGGAGAGGACGGACGACATGATGGCTTGGTTCAGTCCACACAGCTGAAACTTTGTTGGGAATGAAGGTCTGTGATGTTAAACAAGGAAAAGAAGTGATTCATAAAAGTGCATGTAAGCTTTCTATCACACGTCTCCCTTTGTTTGACTGGTGTCACTGATTTGTCAAAGTTTGTAATTACAGCACAACAAAAACAGACGCCAAGCGAGAGAAGGAAAGAATGAGTAGAGGGAAAGTGAGAGAAAGGCTAAAAAGGGAGAAAAGATTGTGGGAAAGGGGAGAAAGAAAGGAGGGAAATGAAGTATTACTGAAAGAAAAGGAAAGAAGAAGCTGGAGGAAGACTCAGATAAGGAAAGAAGGAAGGAAGGAAGAAAGAAGAGAAAAGGTAGTAAAGAAGGTCAAAAGGAATAAAGGAAGGTAAACCAGGAAAAAGGTGACTTGTTGGATTCCTTGGCACTGACTGTTTTCCTGTCTAAAGTCACTTCAAGCTGCGCCTGGAGGATCTGTCACATCAGGTTACAAAATGCACCTGAATGACACACGTTTGCCTTTTGTCTTAGTTAGGGATTATGGAGCTCTGCTTTGGGATGTGGGCAAATACTTTTACCTACAAGTCTCTGGCCACAGCAAACAGTTCATGGACACCAGAGGTTAGAACCAGGTCCCATGCCTGAGAAATGACAAAGAACAGGAGGAAAATCTTTCTGTCCATAAATGTCTATGCCAGATAGTTTGTCACTGTACCCGCTGTGTGGCAGGTGTTCACGTGCACTGCTGGGGTAACCCATACTTTCTCATATGCACCAGAAACTCAAAAAAAGGCCTTTGCTTCCCTCGGGGCTCCGGTCGTTTCATAGATACAGCTCTATATATGGAACAAGCTAATGTGTTTGTGTGTTTACTCTATGAGTCAGAGTTTTGCACAAAAATCAAAAAACTACTGAGACTTTCAAAGGTTGTTTCTGCACATTCTGCCTGAGGAGTAATGAATAAAGAATGTCTTACAGGTTTACACTCCTGACCAGGTCAAAATCAAACACCTGACACAAATCTGAGACACAAACATCAACACGGGTCAAACTTGTCCATGAGGAGCAGCGTAAACAAAATGAGCTACAGCAACATTTGAAGCAAAGAACGTGGAGATAAGACAGCTGAACCTGAGGAGCAAAAGATGTATTTACAGCAACAGTCAGTGTGCACAGCGACCGCTTCACCCAGTTCACTTTTCATTGGCAGAGATGCTGCTCGGCCTAGTGGCTGTTGCTAAGCAACGCGTTGCTTCACGCCAGGTCATTTTTAGACTGTTGGAAAGGTGGTGGGAGAAATTTGGAGACGGCAGCCGAAGATTAAAACCTGGCTGTGATGCAGGATGAATCGGGTGCCGGGCATGAAGGTCATGCACTGCCAAACTTGAACGCTGTTGTACTTGCTTTTGTTGTTGTACATTTTCTCAGTGCCGCTTCTCCTTTTGAAGATTTTTCATGAGACTGATTATTGAACAGAAATCGAGAAGGTGACATTAACTCTCGTCAGATTTCTTATGACAACTCCCATTTATATAAAACAACATAATGCATTACCATTAATAAAGCCATTCATTTCAACACACAAACCCTTTGTAAACAGTGTTTGATCACAAAGTGGTACCACAGACAGTTAAAGCTCCACCTGTGGAGGACAACATGTTCTACCTGTAGAAAAAATATAAACTCACAGAGACACACATTATAGTGCAGTGATAGCAGGGGGTCTAGAGTTACAGGTCGGACGTGTGCTACACACTGCGAGGAGGCAGCTCCACTTTCAGAAGCAGCTCCTGTGAAAATCGTCCTGCTAGACAGATGGAATTAAAAACTGAAAGTTAGTATCAGGCCTTATTGCTGATCTAAACACCAACATACAGTAGGTACAACAAAACTAGTGAAAAGCAGCTCAGCGTTTGACCATGAGACGTCGGCGTTCAGTCTGGACTGCTACACAAAGCTGAATCAGTGGTGACATTACCAAGCGGATGGTCAAGAACGTGGAAGCCGATGAGTCGATCACTGCAGTAAACAGAGGACTAAACACGCTGCTACCTGTACAACTTTACGTTCCTGTTCTTTTGCCGACCAGACACTGAGAATCTGATTTAACCTTGTCTCTAAACAGCCGTGACCCATCTGCACCACAGGGACTTACAAAATCACCCTACTTTATTCACATGGTCTAGATTTTGTCCTCATTACTGCTGAAGGCACCGGCCATGTGTTCTCATCTCTCAAATTCAGCTTCTACAGATTTTCACATACGGGTCAGAGCCCCAACATGGCTCCTTTTAGTCCAAAGCTGTCCCATTTCAGAGGTCAGACTGAAAAATCTCCTCATTATCAACTTCAGTGTACTCCCTTAGTTGTAATACCCAAACCCATGTTTGCAGGTGGCTGAGTAAAACCAGGGAGCCAGCTGAAACGGTGGAAGGATGCTGTGGGTGTAGATGAAGCAACAGTTATTGCCTTGTGCTGGTAAACCTCATTGGAGCTGTAGTTTTTTTTTTGGAAGCTAACAAATGAACACTGATGCTCACTGCTGTCTGAAAATCAACAGTGACTCCAGGATTCCGGTTTATTTTCAGAGGCGAGCCCGAAGCTGACATCTGGACTTTGGCTCTCTGTTTAGAAACACGTATGGCTACTGGGACTCAAAGGAAAACTACATTAGTAGAAGAGCTACGGTCGAGACCAGGTTCACATCTGTCACAGCACTGGTGTCATCATGCTGCCTGTGTATAACCACTCCATCACATCCGTTAGTCGTCACTGATCCAGTTCCGGTTCGAGTCAGCGGAAAGGTGCTGACACTTCTCTGTTGAAATCTACAGTTCCCCTCTTCTTCTTGTTTTAACATTTCACAGAGCCCTGGGTTGTTGGTGGCGTCCTCAGCCCGTCCGCATCCTCAGGGACTGATTTCATAGCATGAAAACAACTTCCTGTCCTGTGTTAATGTTCACGATCACGCCGTCGCACCGGCACCGCAAACAGTGGGACGGTCCTTGATGGTGACGACAGGTCGGGGTCAGAGTTCCTCGAGAGGCGGTCTCTGGCCTTGTTGCCACGGCGATCTGAGGGCACGGCCAATGGGTCTTGGCAAACTTCGTAAGAGCACTTCCTCTTCTGCAGGGCTTCGGCTCGGGCGGCGAGGGAGCGAGCACACACCGTCAGGAGAACAATGAGCGTGCCCAGAAGGAACGACACCATCGGCCAGAGCACACAGTGCAGCAGGACGCTGGTGTCCTGGGAGCGGCGCCACAGCACGTCGTCGGGCCTGAACACAACAGAAGAAGAAACAGCAAAAAAAAACAAAACACAGTTATGTTGTTTTATACCAGTGATGTCCATTTGTGTACTTTGCTTTTGTTTTTGGATCATGGTAAATTTAAACTGCTGCAGGAAAAGGTGGAAACAGGATCAGTGGAAGTTTGTTAAGCTGGGATTCAACAGGAAAGTGGAAGTAAAGGCTGTTCTGTTACATAATACCCCTAAATCTAACAAGCTGCAGTTTGTGACTTCCTGTTTTTGACCAAACTTCCCTTTTAAGGGAAGACTTTTTCCTTTCTTTGCAGCAAGCTCTCTCTTTACACACACACATTTCTGATATTTTTTTAATACTTTTTTGCCTTGTATTTATTGTAGTCTTACACTTTTATACATTTCCTTACTTTGGGTGCTGTGATTTCGCTCATCATTGCTGTTGCTACTGGATACCTGAATTTTAATAAAGTATCTATCAGTCTATAAAACATCTACAGTTCAGTGTGATCACCTAGCAACACCACCGTCAATCTGAAAGCGATATCCTTTACATTATTAATAAAATAATTTGTTTTGAGAAATTAAAACCGGTGAATGACATCTGTTTTGTACTACTGAGACGTTTAACTGCTTGGTCCTTGTTTCTCCTCCAGCTGCTGAGCACAGTGGATGCCAGCACCAGTGACGTGTCGGGGCTCCATAACAAGCCGGACAGGAAGACAAAGGTCACACACCTGATGACTGTATATGCTGCCACATTCTGACACATACACATGTCCAGCATCAAACAGGGACTTACAGAAATGCAATACAACAGTATCCAGGATATTGGACAGTGTTATGTGTCGTTAATTCATCACACAGCATAAAAGCACTAATTTCTGTTTAACTTAACAATTGACATATATCTCAATGTGTCTTGCAGAAGGCTGAGAGTAATAATACAGATTTAATTGTATAGTGCGAGATAACACATTGTATGAGAGAGAGAGAGAGACAACATAATTTCCTGTGATCATCTTTACTTTTCGTACAAAGTGTAGATTTTTCCTCATGTTCAATTAAGTGATCAAACCAACGGTAACTGCAGCAGCTAGCGGGCTCTGTTTAGTTTCTGAAGAACCTTGCTGAGGATATTTTGCATTAGTTTGCATTTCATGTGTGAAAAGCTTGTGTTCATTTCCCATGCATGCAACCGGTGCAGGTTTCTGTTCCTGCAGCAGCAGTTTGTGATCTTCTGCATGAGCGACCATGTTGTCCTTCAGATAGAGGCTGGAAACAGATCTGTCAGATCAAACATCAGACTGGTAAATTAATGTCAAGGGTCTCTTCTCTGGGTCAAAGGCTGCATGCAGCAAATTGCAAAGCGGAAAAGGTTTACTGGCTGCGGCAGCCATCTTTAATCTCCTGTGGTAACAGTGAGCTGTCAGTGAGGCAAATTTCACAGCATCCCGTGTCCCCCTGTTTCTAATTTATCTGTATCACTAATTAAAATAGAGTGCAGTGTAAATGTATGGCTCTCACCTCCTCTGCTGGTTGAAGAAGCAGGTGAAGGACTCGTTGCTGACCTCTTTGGTGAAGTAATCCTCCCACCACAGAACGCTGTCTTTGTTCTTCTGGTTGTCCCTCTCACAGGGAGGGACATAGGAACACTAAAGACCCAGAGAAGACAAGAGAGTGTCATGAAGAGCTCACCTGAAGAAAACTATGTAACATTTGACTAAACAATCATAACTAAGCATCCATTTATTTGTTTGTTGTGGAGTTTTTTGACTGTAACACACATAGTCCTCAACATGTATAAGCAGAGGTAGTCAGAGTCGTGAAATGTTTGTGTATGTAGATGACAACAAGTAAAAGGTAAAAGGACCTTGAGTTCAATAAACGGTCGAGCTCTAAAGCAGGTAATCAAATCGAAATGTCAAAAATACTCATCGCAGCTTTGCAGGACTGAAGATGACGTCTTCACAGCTCATTTGTTCGAGCGGCAGTCCAAACATATTTGGACAGAGGAAAGCAGCAAATCCTAACAGTCGAAGACGCAAACTGTGAATATACAAGCTACAGCCACTGCTTCCAAATATATTCATAAACAAATGAATAAAATCATCACAGCTCCAGGCATCAAAGTCAAAAAAGCCATCACAGCACATCTGGGTCTTTAAATGTTTTAAATCATCTTTTTTCCTTGAGTCAACTTACTGTGATAACTGTACTTTTACTGTAAATAAACAGTAGTTTGAAATAAGAAACGACCCAAATTTAAACCAAATGAGAAACAGTTATGAACATGGACGGATTATGACACAACAGGCCCCTAAGCACAAAGGCCCCCACCTGCCCTGCACTTCTAGGAGCAAGACTCACGGACTGAGCAACAAGTAATCTGTGGCCAGTTTGTGTCTTCTTGTGATGGTTGTGTCCCTGTTGCATTTTCTTTTGTCTTTCGGGGCTTTTTTGTTTATTTTTAGTCATTTTGTGTCTATTTTTAGTAGTTGTTTTGCTAATTTTCTGGCTTTTTGTGGAGATCCCTTCATGTTTCTGTGGTGCAGAGCCCCCTGACCCCTCGGGCCCCTGGACCTGTTCCCGTTCACCTTGTGGTGAACTGTTGATAAAGTGTAAGTTGTGGAGGCGATGTCTGATGCTACACCCTGGGACCTCTTCTCGTCTCCACTGAGCTGTGAAAGTGCGGTTGTTTTGATAATCTCATCTGTCTGATCACATCTCGTCTTCACTCAATTTGTTTCTCTGTCTGATTGCATCTCGTCCAGTTTAGTTCAAACAGAGAGAGCTTCACTCTCACTCTCTCTCTCTCTCTCCGCTCAGCACCATTCATCACCAAGCCAATCACACGCCGCTCGCTTGACTTCATCATAAGTGGGTTACTGTGGTGGATGATTGTGGTTGCCATGACAACAAACTGGGGTTACAATTATGTGTGTGTGTTTTAGTCCTTAGTAAACGGTCTGAATGTGATCGATACAGAGTGTGTGTATTGACATGTGGTGCGATTAAAGAACGCTGCTGTTTACAGAATGAAAACTGCAGGTTTCCGCAAATCGACACTCATTGTCATTCTTCTCTCAGGTGCTGCTGTTATTTCACTGTTTTGACATTCAAAGCATGGACTCGCAGGTGCATTCAGAGGACAGATTCAGTTTGTCAGTCCCTGCACTGCTAAAACGGCACAAATTAATTCACCAGCATGTTTCTGACAGATGCTTCAGGTACATTAGAGCTGCAAGAATTTGGCAATAAACCGATTAGTTGGTCAACAGAAAATTAAATGGCAACTATTGTTTCATTTTTAAAGTTAAAATGTCAAATATGAGCTGTTTCTAGTTTGAGACATGAACGACTGATGCTGCTTTTATTGCACATGATAGTAAACAATACGTAGTTTGGCTTGTGCACAGTAACACAAAATCACCAATCATCATTTGAAGAAACTCTCGCTTCAGCCTAGTGGCAAAGTTTTTTAAACAACTAGTTTAATTTAGCTTAAGAATAGAATAATGTTCTCAGCCCATAAACAGACATTTCATCCTTTAGTTTATCAGTAAAATTAAGATTGTGCAAAAAGATTTTACTGAAATAGTTAACTGATTACCAAATACCAATTATTGATCAACAGTAGTTGATTAATTGTTTCCGCTGTTATTCAGACTTCTTTCAAAGTTTGCTTGAGCACCTGTCACACAAAGCAAAGACACAACACACACACACACAAACAATTAACTGTGAGTGTCACAGCATCAATCATATCCTGACAGGCTGAAAACACAAACAGGGTCTGCTGCGATGGGACCCGTCAAGAGAGAAACTCTTTGAGTGATCGGTAATGAAGAAGTGAACTTTACGTCTGAACCTTCGCTTACAGGAAAAACACATCTCCACAGCTTCTTCAAGCATGTACTGCTAGAAGCCTGATGACAGCGACAGGTCATGTAGATTCCTCATGAGCCGCTGTGTCAACATGGCGGCCATATTGGTACAGGGAAGCCTGTAGGTCCAGCCACAAATAAAGGCATCATCGTTTTCCAGGTGTTTGCTCTGTTACAAGTGTCAGGAATGTATTTATGATACAGCATACCTGCTCACATTAAAACTTTAGATTTCATAAAATACTTGTACACAGAAAGTGGGCTTAACTAACAAGACAGTTGCTGAAATGCTTCTCTTGGGCTTAGCTTGTTGTAGCTGTAACAATATATTTGCAGATAATTTTGTATAGAAGCTCATCAGGCTTTTCCTCTTGTTCAGTACCACCTCCGCCGTCCCTACCAGAATGTGTGAGGTTTCTGGCAAGAATAAATTCAGAGCCAAAAATGTATAGATACGAACAGTTCAGTAAACATCGAGAGCGTCTGCTCAGAGCACAGCAGTGTTTCTGTCACACTGTCTGGTTATGAATTTAAATAGATTATCAGAATGCGTTTGCATCTTCAGTGACCTGCTGTTGCCTGTCTGTCTGACTCCGCACACTGCTAAACGGATTAACATGAGGCCGTGTCTACCGGTCTGCCTGTCTCTGTCTGAGGGTGGACAAACAGGACTGTGATGAATCAGCAGCTCAGTCTGTTCGTGTCTGAGAAGGTTCAGCTGAAACCACCAATCGGTGCCAGGCTGCAAAAAATACTTTTCTCCAAACAACGAAGCAGTTAGCTGTTGACTCATCAAAATGCACATTTTCTGCTCTGCTGCAGTTGAGGTTTGGTTTGATAGCTGGTTTCATTAAGGATTCAAGTTGAAAAAGTACCAGGATTCATTAAAGCTCCTCTACCTAACATCACTTTAGCCTAAAGACTCGAAACGAACTGACCATGCAAATTGTCAGTTGTCCAGGTCGTAGTACACTCATAAAACGTAGAAAAAAAATCATCTGGATGTAGTTTTAGGTAGAAGACGTTTCACCTCTCATCCAAGAGGCTTCATCAGTTCTGTACGACTGGTGGTGAGTAGGAGGTATTTATCCCCCTGGGTGGGGTTTCAATCCTCTACCTAAAACTGTCCAGATGATTTTTTTCATCAAAACAAAATGACAAAATAAGTCCCTCCTAAGCGCTCTCTGCTCCTCCCATCACAACCTGCTTCCTGCACTGGCTGTATATAATAGATGGACAAAACCTATTGGTTTTCTGGACAGTGGTTCTGAGACTCTGGCCGTGGCCACACTGGCAACGCTTTACTCCACCTGCTAGGTCTAATCCAAAAATGGCCAAAGAGGTGGAGCATGAGTGGAGCTGGCTAGACAGCTAGCAGCCAGCTACCCATGGTGGGACCCTCCTGCCTGTCACTCAGAACATTGGCAAGCTTGATTAAATAGTTAACTTTTAGTCTCAGTTTAGATAGGTAGGACTTTATTGATCCCACATTGGAAATTCCTGTGTTCCAGCAGCAACAGAGAGCAGCAACAAAACACCATAAGAACAAACACCACACACATATCTTGAGAAACATATTCCAAAGTACCTAAAACCAAACAGAATATATATAATTTAAATGGGCAATTCACCCTCCGTACAGTTGTCATAGAAGGAGAAGTTAGCTACAGAGACCAAAGGCGTTTTTTGTACCAGGCTGTAAATGTGTTTATTTCTGTTGTACAGTTGGGCATTTTAACACGGGTGCCTATGGGGACTGACTCCATTTTGGAGCGAGCCTCAAGTGGCCACTCAAGGAACTGCAGGTTTTGGCAGCCTCTGAGTTTGCCTCTTGGTTTCCCGAAGCTATGATGTGAACTACAGATGCCTGGATGAGACAAACTGTATAAAATGCAGCCTCTAGGCTGAAGCTAAGGGTTAGCTGACTAATGAGTCCTGGCTTTACAGCAGGGGCACACTGTCAAGTGATGAGGTCAACAGTTTAGTGATTTGTGATCCATAGTTTCTATGTATGGCTCACGCTGTTTGTAGATGACACATTTACTGGGTCATGTTTGTTTTGATGTGGTCAGACTTTTAGCCTCCCAGAGCTCCTCCACAGCTGTTTGACATGACTACTGGAAAAACCCTTCTTCTAACCTTGGCTAGGCGACAGGTGGGGCTGATTTACAGACCGTACTTTGACAACACAGGGTGGAGAAGCTGCAATAACAACAGGAGGCTGTAGGCAGCAGAGGGTCATAGAGGAGCCAGAATGTTCCTTTACAGGCACTGATGGTTAGTGAGGTCCTGGAGCTCCAGAAGCTCTGCCTCATTATAGTTAATTAGCTTAAGTTAACAGGAGACACACATGTAAATGTCGCTGTCATTCCTCAGAGATTACATTAAGTACCTTTCCGCCTGAACAAACAAGTGCTTTTATAAATGAAGATCTCTGCCGCTGACCTTTTCAGCCTATTTGTTGTGTGTTTGTTGCTGTATTTATACCCTAATCAGGTCAATATGTCCTCATAGAGACAGAAAAATCAGAAGAAAACCCTCCACTGAACTTATCATTTAGCAAGACACTTCTTGTTCATTGTTAATACACAATAATGGTAAAGGTTAGAGGTAATACAAAGCCTGTGTGTGACAGAGACACTCAGCCATCTAAACAGTGGTGCCCCCTGGTTTCCTGCAGCTCTAATCATTTACATATATAATGTAATTAAGTCATAAACAAAGGAATTACTGGTCAGTGTAACTGACTGAAACCACCCACCTGCCTT